GAGATAAATTAATTTGCCCTATTGTAAGACGAGGTAGAAAATGCTTGTAACGCTAACTAAGTTCGATTTCAAAAATACTATATATCTTACTCTATAGTATAAAATCATAAGGTAACAGTGTCAAGCGTAACGCTGTAACGCGGATCGCTACCCCCTCTACTCCACAGTCCAAGGTCCACTCACCATGTCACTTTAGAAGCGCATGCACACGAAATAGGCGCGAAGCCGTTCCGCGAGGTTTCCTAGTCCCTGCGAAACTTGAGGCCCCGGGGTTGTTTTATGGCCTGGATGTCACAGCATCAGGCCTTTACCCCGTGATGGTCGTCGTAGGACGGCCATGTGCCCGACATCCCTGCTTTATTAGGGTGGCTTACTGGGAGTCACTGGGATTTTCTAACACTCGGCCAGCCTGCAAATATGCTTGTCCTCAAGCATGGTTTTCAATAGGTTTGTGTAACAAAAGATTCAGCATTTACCTGAGTATATTGTTCAATTTTTAAAATATCAATTCGAGCCCCGAAAGAATATTCTACGAATAATTGATAAATAGTAGCCGTTAATACTCCCCTTTCTGGTCACAGCTTTTGTCTTTGCCGTTAATCAACCTTTATCAGCGACGACTCTGTTCATCGCTCGATTTCTGGATCTCGTCAGAGTTGCCAAGTTGCAATCCCTTACTGATGTTTCTGGTATTCCGCTACCATTTGCTGCTTGATGAATCAGATGTCTTCATCATGACAGTCTGCAGCATCTACTCTCTGTCATGACACTTCGCGAATCACGCAATAAGAACTATTGTCGTGACCGCTCTTCGTAATCCAGTAGCGGTGCACCACCACTACTGGCTTCCGGCTAAAAGGTCGTCACCGATCAACGGCGAACACTTATCACCGTTGACAATCAGAGCCTTTTTCTCAACATTCAGTAGCAACCCTGCTCACTGACATGTCGGCTTCGCAAATCAGGCAATAAGAACTATCACCATGATATGCTCATCGTTATCCAGTAGTAGTGGTGCACCACCACTACTGGCATCCGGCGAAGCGGTCGTAACCGAACAACAGCGAACACGTTTCACCGTTGACAATTAGGACCTCTTTCCATCATTCAGTAGCAACCTTGCTCACTGACATGACAGCTTCAGTATGATCTTGCAAGTGACCAAGTTACCTCTATAAGCATCACACCAGCAGCATCGGCCGGGGGGTCGATCTCTATCGCCCCGACACGATGAAACAAAACATCTTCCTTCCAGCGATGACTTCTTTCATGCTGATGAAGATGATGATATCCACAAGGAACAGCTGCAACCGGTGACCTGCGACCGCTGCTGTTGCTTTGTATTAACGGAACGGAACGAGAATAGAACATATATTAGCATATCGTCTACAACTCAAGATTTCAATTTTATCAGGAAAACGAGCCTAACTCGTCTACCTCCCTTTATTAAACCCTCGACTTCGTAATGGTTATTTACGTGTCTGCTACATCCTGAACGGCTCTCTGATTTTGGAACAAAGCTACCTGCTTTCTCCCGTCGCTCGGTCAATGGTCATTTTGGCCGTTACCACGTTTCCCTGTTGATACCTGCTGGCTCGTTGAGTCCAACCGTATCGTTGTCCGTTTTTGCTGTCGTCGCCGCCAATGCTTAAACGCCAGTATATCGATCACTTTTCGATATTAGCCTGTCTTAATCTGAAACAAAATTTATCCAGGTGCCCCGATTTATTGCAGAACGTGCAAATACTCCGTTCTTTGATGCATTGGGCAGAGAAATCCAACTTCCTCGCAATTATGATATGTCACCGCCGATTATTGAATCTATCCCACGGTCGTCGAAGGCCCAGGGCTTCCCGTCGGCGTAAATGCTCCGTTTTCAGTTTCACTATCTGTTCTTTGCGACATAGCTCCCATCTCATTCATTGCTGCGTACATTTCGTCCGCGTCCTTGTAATGTTTTGACCTGATGGTCCTGGCCACGTTTTCATCCTGGATGCCGCCGATTACCGCGTCTTCCAGGTAAGCGTCCGGAATGTCCAATTTAAGAGCACGCAGTTTCGACAGCTTTTCGAAACAATAATCTTCTAAATGTTGTCCGGGACTGGCAGTATAGGTGGCTGCTTCCAATAACAATCGCGCAAACGGTAAAGGCTTCTTAACCCTTTCGCTTCGACAGTCCGGTCCGCCGAAGTGTCGTCACCGTACAGAAGCACGCGCCAGAAATGTGCACAGTGCGCGTGGTTTTTGTGTATACATTTTTTAAGTCTTAAATAATTACTATGCTTAATAAAACAATTGTTGCTCTAATATAGCATGTATTCCTCACATTTTAATATGAAAACAGTTAAACAAAATTATATTAGTTACTCTAAAGACATTAGACTAATTACAGTTGACAAAATCTTAGCCATTTACATATTTACAAGACTTTACAATTGAACGTTTAATATTATTAATAATGTAACACAAATTAGTTAGTATACTAATATTTAGAAATTAGTAGTGTTCTGCCGATAACGAAAAATTTGTCATTGACCTCAGATAGTACTTGTATACACATCATGTGGATGCCGGATATATCCGGCGCTCGAAGCGAAAGGGTTAAAACGTTGTAATAGAATCGTTTTCTACGACCTCCATGTATGATCGTTTATTAACTCCTCATCATATACACGTCGTGCATGTCCCTTTAAACTTAGAGCAACAACCAGCAATACAGGGTGTCTCACAACTCGTGTAGGTCCCTGAAATGGAGGGTAGCTGACGTGATTCTAAGCAAGATTTCCCTTTGCAAAAATCGGGTTTGAAGCGTCGTTTTTGAGTTATTAACGAAAAACACGGACCAATCAGAGCGC